ACAGGATAACTAGCGCTAAAAAGGGCAAGAATAGAGCTTAAATATTAATCGAGAAATAGGATATAAGCAGATACTTATATAGTTCTAAAATGCCAAGCTATTTAAGTGTAGTAAGTTGCCTATTTCTATCTATACAGCTACTACTTTTCCTTTATATACTCTATAAGGCTAGGCCTCTTCTTATAGTTATTAAGTAGCTTATTTTAGGCCTTATTAAATTAATTAAAAAGTTCTAGCTTTTTTATAGCAGTCCAACGGATAATAAATTCACTTTTTTTCTCTTTTTACCTCTTTTCCTTAGCCGCCTTCTGCTCTTCCGTATTATTCTCTATTAGCGTATTAGTATAGCCTACAGGGAATATCGGTTTATTTTTATATACCTTAGCTAGCTTAGTATTAATATTCTTCTTAATATGCTATATATATAAGAGGCGTGGGATAGTAGGCTACTATTAATATAGTGCGTTCCTTAGAGCTTATTCCTTATCTATTAGGAAAACGCGTGGTGTAATAGAATAGCGTTAAAAGAGCTTAAAGAGCTGCTATACCGCCTAGTTATAGTTTACCTTCTTCTTTTTTAGAATAAAATAATAGCTAATCTTAAAGTTGTTATATATATATATAATACTAGTTATATATAAAAACAGTATGCTAAATCTATTAGTTTTATAGGTGTAGTCTAATAGTATAATATTATAGTTAGACTGTAGAATCTCGATAGAATCTAGATAAGTAAAGAAAAGGTAATTAATCCGGTTCTTCTAGTCCTTTATATAGCTATATATATACTTCCTCTTTTAGCCGTTAGGTAAAGGAAATATAGATATTTCTAGTATACTAAGGAGAGCTTATATAGGCGTAAGGCTACTAAAAAGCTCCTTGCGGTACCGTGTTCGCTTATTCCTAATATCCTGCACAGTAATAGTAACCCCCTTTTTTAATAGCTTTATATACATCTTATTAGGCTTTATTCCGCTGGATATATCCGTTTAAATAAGGCGATTTATTAAGGCTAAGCGCTTCCTATTATATGCGGCTGCTATAGGTTTAAGTATAGGATAATAGTTATTATAAGCCGCCTCTTCTATCTTCTATAGCTATAGACGTTTATTATTATAGCTAAAAGGCTGCTAAGTAAGCGTACTATACATTATATAGTTTCCTTTTTTAGTAGCTATACAGCGTACACGTGTAGTAGAATCTAGATTGCTATTAAAGCAGTACTTAAACTATATTTTCCTTATTTCCTTTGCTTTCTTATTACTTTTAGAGCGGTACTTTATAAGCCCGTAGCCTTATACCTTTATATACTCTATAAGCGCTTTCTCGGCTTCCTCTATAGTATTATAGAACCGTGTTAGTAGCAGCTAGAAGGCTATAGCAAGTGTATTATAGAGGTGGAGGATAAGGATATAATTGCTTATATACACGCTGTATTTAGAGAAAGCACTTAGAATTAGCGAGCGAGCTTAATAAGTGAATCGGAGGCTCCGGAGCTGCCCTCCGAGCTAATTAGAAGGTGGTGAAGCGATAGAAGGGGGAAAAGGTGTGCAATTAGTGAAAAAGGGGTGTGTAATTAGTAAAAAGGGGGTGTGCGATTAGTGGCCCCTATTTTATAGAGGGGGCCGGGGAGCAGCAAGTATTTATCTTTTAAAAGGAATATCTAGAATCTTCTATACTTATTAATATAACTTCTTTAACTATAAATATAGCAACAGAAAATACACGAGATATATTTAGAAAAGTGCTATATACTTAGGCATAGTATTAAATATAATATAAATCGCTTATTATCTAGCGTATTATTATATAAGCACGCTAACTTCTTATACTAAAATATTTTTAAGGCTACTTTATACGGATAAATTTAGAGCGTATATTTCTAATAGCTAAGCTTTTTTAAATTATAGAACTATCTTCTCTTATAATAGAACTATTATTTACGTACTCTAAAATTTAAAAAGGTGTTAATAGCTGTTATATAGTAGGGGTGCAAACCTAAAATCGATCTAGACGTTGTAAACGGAACGATTAACAGTATAACTAAAACTATTGTATTTTTCGTACTATAGACTAGTTCCTAAAAGGAAAGTATCCTAAGAAAAATAATATACTAACTATAGCTTAATAGAGTTGCAAGGAAAAAAGTTAAAATGCTTAAATAACAGGTTTATCTCGGCGCAGGGTGTTTTTCGACCCGTAGTAAAAAACGTTAGCTCTAAGCTTTAAAAACGCGGTGTAAAGAGAAATTAAAATACTAAGTTTATCTAAATAAAAGGAGAAGGAGTATATAAAACGCTACACGTCTGCCCGTTTATAAGTTTTAGAACCTTTATATAATAGGTCTATTAATAAAAAGTATTCCTTAACCCGTCGAGGCGCAACGCTCAGGCTAACGCTAAGCGAATATTATTCTTAGATATATAAACAAATATTATCAGGCATAATAATTAACTAAAACCCACCTAAAAAGACAGTAATTAATGCCTAATTATACCTAGAATATTAAATAATATTAACTATGTTAAATAGAAGGATTCTTATATAAAATAAGTAAAAACACCCCCCCTAAAGCCGGCGCCGCTGCCCGAGTTCTCTCTGCTCTGTATTAACAATTAGTATGCTCTAGGAAAAGCTTTTATACTTTTTAGTCTTAATCGGCATAATTCTATAGCTATTTTTAAGCTATTCTTTACTAATAAAATAATAGAGAAGATAGTATAGTAGATAAATAAGTATATAGAATAGCACCGGCCTACTAACGTGTGCCTGCCACAGCTATAGAAGCCAACTATAAGGCACGAGCTCTATACCTATTTTAGAATACTTATTTATATAGGAGTTACTATAGAAAAGCGCGTTAAGAATTATTAGGGCCCTAGATTATATAGTGCTAGCTATATAGTAAAAGACTATATTTTAAAGACCCGGTTTAAGCAGATTAATTAGTACTTTTAGTGCTTTTCTATACCCTAAAATAGATTCTATTTAATATTTAAGCGTATAGATAAGCTCTTTAAGTATCTATAAATACGTAGCCGTATATACTAGACCCTAGGCCCTTACCTTACTATTAATAAAATAATACAGAGGTTTATAGAACGGGCTAGTAAAATTATTAATATTCTATCTAAACTAACGCCGAAGGGGTTTAAAATATAGGTTTTTACTAATTAAGGCTATATTCTTAATTAGCTATAGCATGCTAAGGGAGATAAAAAAGGCCCTATTAACCTTAATAAATTATTTCTTATAAAGGGCTTTACTAAAATATAAGCTATTATACTTAATTTTTTAATATAATATAATTCTATTATAAATTAACCCCTTTATCTACCTTATAAGTATATAGTTTAGCTAGATAATCTTTTCTCTAATATAAAGCTATTTAAGAGGCTCCGTAAGCTTAGAATAGAAGCAGCTAGCACCGTGTATATAACTAAAATAAAGAAAAAAGAGATAAAAGGAATTAAGATAAATATTATTACTATTAAGGAATAATCTAGCGCTTTACAACGCTAGATAAAAAGAAAGAAAATTAAGCCTATAGAGAGCTTCTTTCTATTACTTATAGACCTTAAGTTAAGCTATAATAGGTAAATTCCGTAGGGTATACTATATAGCGAGTTGTTAAAAAGTTATAAAGTAATAGAATTCGCCTAGAAAGATATAATAATAGGAAGGATTATATTACTAAGCTACGGAAATAACCTATAAAAATAGCTACAGGATATTATTAAACGGTAAAGATATTTAGTAAAAAGGCGTAGGTGTAGCTTAATATTCTAGTAATAATCGATAAGTATAACCTTTAGATATACGGCGTAGATATAGTAGACTAGATACGCAGCTATTATAATATAAATCGTGTTTATAGAAAGATATAGAAGCTATTATAGAGTTTTCTATTAGATATAGTTATAGGTAATAGCTATATACTCTTATTATACAGGCCCGAGCCGGGCTTAGGCAAGCGCGTATTACGCTAAAATACTTATCTATAATTCTGTTAAAACCTATAAAATAAGCTCCTATATTATTATTATTATTATTAGGTTCTATTAGGCCGATTTAGCTCCCGTTAGGGTCTATACGGCAGTGCTATCTAGGTTTTATTTACAAGGGGAAACCGTTCGCTCTATAGCGGTCGGGTGAAAACCTTATTTTCTACAGTATATAACACCTTACGTTCCTTTTATTTCTGCGCGGCTGTGGGGGATGCGTGGCAGCTCTGTAAGCATTACCACGGAGTAAGCTATCTTAATATATTCTCTAGGATCGATCCGGTGTCCGTAGGCCCTAGCGGGTACAGATTATATTGCATGCTGTCTACACTACAACAAGAGGGCGCGACCCCTCTCACACGCTTTCCAGCCTGGCTGGAGGACTCTTGCCTAAGCTCACCTCCTAACCCGGCCTCGAGGACTCGGGTGGACAAAGCCCTCCTCCTACGCCCCTGCACCAGTTTGCTCCTTAAGCCTATATTATCCTCCTCTCCTTGCCTGTTTATAGACCGACACGCACATCTATCCTCTTGGGCTATACAGACAGTATCTACTGTTGCTGCTATTACACACCTCGCCTTATAGCTAATACTGCTTTACGATACTTTATAGAGTCTCCCCTTTATAAGGCCGACCGTGTCTTGCAGGGGTTGTTATCTATATACCCCTAGCCAGGCAGCATACTTCGACGTTTCCCTCCCACTAACTAAGATGGAGCATCCATCTTCCTCCTCCTATCTGCCTGCTATGCCCGTCCTTAAGTATATCCAGCTGCTGCCCCAGCACTCGTGTCCACCCTGCGTGTTGTAGCCGGGTCGGTTAGGCGTTGTTGCCTCGCAGCGCGTTATCGGGATTGCATCTGCTTAGAAATCATCCGGTCTGTCGTCCTTCCTCCCTCTGCCTGTCCGGCGGACGGCTCTATTACCCCTACTATGCTGGCTGTAACCATTTCCCTTTAGGAGCTTTAGGCTTTCTCGCGTGCCAATGGGCGCTTACAGGTATTGTCGATAGCTGCGAGCACTACGCTGTTTAAGGTCCTCCACTTAACTGCTATAAGAATGCTGTCCCCTAGGCAAAGGCTGCAAGCACTATGCTGTTTAAGGTCCTCTAATTAACCGCTAATAACTTTAGTAACGCTGTAGGCACTGTAGACACTATTAGTTAACGAGAGCTATAATAGAGGGGAGGGTGAAAACTCTGCATCGCCACCCTAGAGGTGTTCTATTGTACGCCTAGGCATCGGCTCCACGTTTGGCTTGCTTCCTACACAAGTAGACATATATCGGATGGTTTTTATACCTATTTTAATGGTTGTTCCTCTGTTCTAGTAATGCGGTTTATTATTATTATTATCCGGTAGAAGGCCTTTAAACGGCTATAACACTATTACTAGCTCTATTATGCCTTAAGCATCTGCTCTGCTTACTATAATATAGGAGCAGGTTTATAGCACCGCCTTATACAGGCTACTTATTAGGCTTGCGGTGCTAAAGCCTCTATATTTTTAATATTAACTATATCTATATTATAAAGTAAGGTAAACTTCTTCTACTTAACTTTATATATTTTAAACTTGCCTTATCCTATTTTCTAATAGTATTTTTAGATAATATCCTTAATTTTATACTCTATTTTACCTTTAATTTTAATAGAAGGAGGTTATAAATTATCTATTTCTTAGCTAGAAAGGGGATTTTAAGCTGCGAGGCGGAGTTAGTTAATATAAAATATAGGTTCTATTCTAGGAGGTATATTAAGGCGTATAGTATATAAGCCTATAACCTTTATAATAGTATACTTAATATTTATCTAGTTAAGCTTTTTAAATAGTTTACTAAGTAATTAATACTTACTAAGCTTAAGCTATACCTTATTACTAACCTATAGTTATAGAGCAGGTGTTAGGTCTATAGCCGGAAAAAGGTTGTATTGCTATTAATAAAGTTGCGTGGAAAAAAAAGAGGCTCCGGCTATAAGCCTGCTATATAGTTAAGCGCGCGCCGGCAGAACCCCGGGCGGCGGAAGAACCCTCGGCCCGCGATTACGTGACGTCCGTGCACGTAATAACCTGCGGCTTTAATAACTACTAAGAAAATGCTAAGGAATAATATAATAGCAGGTATATAAGTTTTATTAGCTTACTTCTCTTATTTTTATTAGGCTGCGGCTATTACTACTTAAGTAAGCTTAATTCCTTTTTTTAGTATATAAGCTAAGTTTTATTCTAATTATATAGGTAGTAAGGGAACCTTAGGTAGTTCTAGATTAAGTTCTAGAACTTTAAAATTATATCTATTACGGTATTAATTATAGCCTTCCTCTAAGTATTAATCCCCTAATACCTTATTCCCGTATATATACGCACGCATGCGCTACGCGCCTGCCACCTAATTCCCGATTCTATTAGGGCCACGCGCTATATACGAGCCCCTTTTCTCGTCTTATATATAGCCTAGCTCCTGTCCCTAATTTAACTTAGATCTTAATATTTTATAACTAACTATAGTAATAGTATATAGTTATCCTTTTTTAAATCTAATACTTGTCTATCTCGCGTTTAAATGCCCGATATATTATTACTGTGATATTACGTTAAGATCCTTATAAGGGCGTGCTAGAGCCTAAGATAAGTACCGACCTAGACGCCTGCAATAATACTGCTAAACCTAGACACAACGCCCGCAATAATACTGCGACCGATCGCTAGCACCGTACTACTGCCCCGATTGCTAGCACTATACTGCTGTCCCGATTGCTAGCACCATACTGCTGCCCCGATCGCTAGCACCGTACTGCTGCCCCGAT